TTGTGCTGATCTACATTTCTTAATATCATTCCAGGCAAGTCATATTAAACAAAGATTTTTATTTATTTATTTATTTTTACAAAAATACTTCATAATCATTTAGATGTTTAAAATAAAAATGGAAAGGGCTGGCATAGTTACATTAATTCATACAGTTTGGTAATGAAAAACACTTGTTTGAATGGGTATTTGCAGTGCACGCTCAGTTTAATTATTTGGTTCACAGTAGTTTAGTTCTGCTTCTGCAGCAATCACGGTGACCATCCTGAGTGAGGAGGACCCTGAGCAGGTGGCTCTATGCAGGTCAGACTTTGGGAAGTGCAGCTCATGTCTCCTTGAAACTAAAAGAGGTCATTCATCAGCTCATGCAGCTTTAAAGCATAACCCTGCTTCAAAATTGCAAAACAAATGAAAACAGGATATTCTGTCCTAGTGTGTGGTGAGTTGATCAATCCACTTCTGCACCCAGAAAAAAAAATCTCTCCTGTTTTCTCCATGAGTATACTATTTGTAAAGGGTTTTTGATTTTGGTTCATTTTCAGTTTTTTGGTTTTCCTGAGTAGCACAGTGACTTGAGTTGAATGCCCTCCTGTGAAAGTTGGTTACTCATCCAGTTCATATGGTCTGCTGTGGGCCTTCATGTAATTGCAAATAATAATAAAATATTTCTACAAACAGCTGGAAGAGAAATGGAAGACTCAGTGAGTGCTTTTTAAAAATATATGTATGTGCAAAACTGAGAAAGATTCACTGAGAAAATATTTAAACAAAACAAAGTATATTTAAATTATTACATTATAAAAAATACAGCAAAATAAAAAAAACAGATTATATAGATAATCCATCACAAGGTCAGCTGTAAATATTGTCTGTAAAAAGAAAAATACCTTATGTGGAGAATTTATCAAATATAGAACTAAAGAAGCACAAAATAGATGTAAAAGTACAAGAATAAGAATAAGTTACCGTCTGTTACGAAGTTTTCTAAATAGAAATATTGCAGTAAATTGTTGGTTAGGGTTTAATATGCTGATGATAAGTACTTGTGGCAATATCAGGAACAAAGCATGTTTATGCACATTTTCATGTGTTAGAGCCCGGACTTCAGTTCAGGCTCTGAGGTGAGGAGGAAAGGAGGGAGGAAACAGAGCAGCAGCGGAGGAAGGAATAGACATAATCAGAAAGAGATTATGAAAATAGTTTAACATTTGGTTAAACGTTGTACATTCATTCCACCCATTTATTTCTAAGAGATGCTAATGTGAAAATGCAGTCCGAGTGTGCTCCGGTTCATCTTGCCTGTTTCCTGCACGTGGCAGGAGCCGACCTCTGCACTCTATCATCAGGGTTTTCTTTGCTAACGTGCTAAAGCAGTTATTAAGAATTTCTTCACACTGCACTCTAGCTCCTCTACATCAAACATGTTGCCCAACATGGTCAGCAAGAGAAAACTTTTCTGCTTAATGATGCTATTTCTGTTCAAAAACGAGCAACTGTTAATCTCAGAGCAGGGAAATTGGAGCCAGCAGCAGCTTGTCCAGCACCCTGATCTCTAACCAGTCTCCCATCAAGGACCTGAAGTTTATCCACAATGAGCATGCACAAACCTGAAGCAAAGCTGCTGCTTTCTCAGCCTGACAAGCTCAAGCCTTTTCTAATAGGACACAGACACGTCCATGAAATTGAGAATTGAGTGGAATTAAAGGCAAGCCTGTTTCCTCTGATAATGCCTAATTTCCAAAGGATGAAAGTAATATAAAGAATAGATGGGAAGAATTATGACAGAATGGTTTCACTTTGGTCTAATTGATATCAGCTTGTCCTCACAAAATGACCACTGGTTGAGGCTACGGTCATACTACCTTGATTACACCCAATCACATCTAATCTCAGAAGCCAAGCAGGGTCAGGCCTGGTTAGTACTTGGATGGGGGTACCAGGTGCTATAGGAGTTGGGTGTGGCTCAAGAGGTACAGCAGTTACCTCAGCTAAAGGTGAGTAATGAACGTTTTTCATTGGGAGTGACTACAATGGACAGGATAGACATATCAGAGCAACAGGCTGGGATGAGAGGTTTGGAGGCTAAGTTATAGTAGAAGCAAGTTTAGGTGGTTTCTACATGTACAGAGAAGTTAAAGTTGATATATTGGACAAAGGATGTTGAATATGGAGCTGCCAAGCAGGAAGACCCCAGAGTGGGTTCATAGATGTAATAAAGGAGGGTATGCAGATGGTTGGTGTGACAGAGGAGAATGCTAGGGACCTGGGTGCAACTGCAATGGTAAAACCAAATCCTTCACCCATAATATGGAATAATTTGATACTGAAGTAATATCACACAAGAGTAGACTCTCTTCTCTTATATTCTATAATTTCTCTCTGATCATTTATTTTATTCTCATTCTTTTTATTAATAACATCTTATTCATATTCATCTTTCTAACACTTTCACAATTCCACAGACAACAACAGCAATAATACTGCAGCAGCTAGTATTTACTGACACTTGTTCCCTCCTCTGCAGGTTGTGTGTCCATGGTAGTGTTCATAATGCTGGTAAATTAAGTCCTGGGGACATGCAGGCTAAACAGGTTAATATGAGGATGACTGTCTTCAAAGTTCTTCTAGAAAGAAATCTGCCCACTCTGTGAGAAAAATGAAGAGTTTGATCAAAAAAAGGGAAGCAGATAAAAAACTGCCCAAGTTCCTTTTAATGGGTGCAACCTGTTATTGTCTTTGTATAACTTCACAGATCCAGTTTATGACTATAAACCTTTTATATGGTTTTAAAGAAATTTTTAAAAATTGCTTTAATATATGGAAGGAAGAAATCTGTGTCTCCGATCAAGTCCCAAATCCTTCCCGAAACAACGGCCGCGATGAAGTAAATAAAAGTGAAGTCTTTGGCTTAGCAGCAGATGCATAATTATGCTTTTGTTAGGGCACAAAAGAAATCATGATAATTATCTAAACCCGTCCAAGCTGAGCAGCAGCTCTGGCTTCCTCCAGTCCTACCTTTCCATACTTAGCCCTGCAGCAGCTTCAGTGGCAGATGGGAGATGAAAGGGGGAGCTGGATGAACGAGGGAATGAAAACAGGTGTTGGTGAAAACTGAAGAAAAGGAAAGGCCAAGGGGTCAACTGGGGCATTAGAAAGGGGGAGGAAACTTACATATAGACTTGCAGACGGACAGATCGATGGATAGATTTTTTTCTTTTTACCCTTTTCAATGTGCCTCTTGAAATCTGTTGTCTTGCCAAATGGTGAGCGGCTCTGCAGAAATGTGAACATTTACACTATAGCTAGAAAGAGTGTGTTTCACTAACTATTTTAACTAAAGACTGTTACAGTGTTTCAGCAGCTATACTGTTCAAAGCAAGTAGTTCTCATATTCTAAAATATAAAGTCTAGTATATTATTTGATCCAACCTTGTTTGTTTTAATCTACCTTTTTTATTATATGGGTCACAGCATTTTTTACCTTTGACATTCATTCTTCTGACCATAATGCACCATGTCGTGTGGAATAGTACAGAGAAATCCAGCCTATGAAGGTATTTAACAACTGAATGGAATCGTGTGTAGATTTAGTGTACCCTCCAATAAGTCATACTTTATTCTCAAAGAAGAAGAGGGGGGGTTGGAATCTGGCAGAATACAGTTTTATAGGCACTCAAAGTGAATAAGGTCTTTTCAGAAAGGCTTAAGTCTCAGTTTTAAGGGCTCCGTAAGGAACTGAAGGTGAAAGACCCGCTCACAATGTGAATACAGCTGCCTATTCAGGACCCCAGCCCCCATCCAGACACAATAATGCTGCCCCCTACCACTCAGCGATGGAGGAAACGGCATCAGATTGTTGAACTCCTGCTGGATCCCGCCCTCCTCCCCTCCCTGCTGCGGCACGCCGGCCCAGCCCTGGCAGCTGTTTAACCAACTGAGGCAGAAGGGCTGCAGGAGAACAATGCAGTTCGACTTAACCATTCCTCTTTCTCTCTCTATGTGTGTGTCAGTATCTGTCACTGCATTTAATTAGGAGAAGCTCTCTATAAATGAGGCTACCACCACCCCAACATCTGACAATGCTAGGCTGCATATTTATGCCAAAAGACAGAAACTTCATTACGCTCATTAAATCTGTCAGCGGAGAGACGGAAATTCATGTTTTAGTCTACAGTAAACAACAGAGCGTGGATTTATTGGGATACATTCAGTTTATTTCTGTCAATCCCAAAAGAGAGTTTGGAGCACAGCCACAACAATGTGCAACATGTGCACTGACTTATAAACTGTTTGTGTTCTATCTTGTCTTCTGTAAAGGTTTCAAGAGGTGTCGTGTACATAAAGTTAACATTCTTCTTATTGTTGTTGGAATGATCCACAAACTAACAAGCTATTCTGATAGCTTCACACAGTTGTTTCCATATAAGATGCATTTGCACATTGATGTAGAGAATGCTTATACAAAAAAAGCAAATTGTCATCATCTCAGCACAGACCATCCTGGACAATCAGTGCAGCAGAGCCCCCTGCTGCTACATCTGTACTCCTGCAACACTTGCTGGGTGTTTCTGTTGACACCGCTGGTCTGCACTGTCAGGATTTAGTGAGAGCTATTTAAAGATAACACAATCTTGGGTGATAAAATATTACACATAAATGATAAATCTTTAAATGTATTTCTAAGATATTTAAGCTACTATGTGCAACAGCACTACTGTAATCTCCTGAGGGAAGCACATTCAGTAGAAATGACCCATATTCGCTAGATGTGCCTCTCTGACTTAACCTTCTTTCTCAAAGTCAAACACAACATGACGTTTCCCATTTGACACACTGCAAGAGATCAACCAAGCATCTCAGATGTGCTAGTCATCAGAATAGGACTTTCAGGGTGTAATTTAAAGATGGTAGCTTCACCGGAAGCACTTAGTTCCTGCACAAAAGGACACTTGGAAATTGTAGAGTGTTTGCATGTTATAGATCACAGCTCAGAGGTTGGCTTATGTTCTGTTTAAATACACCAGTTTATTATATTTTTAAAAGAACTTAGTGAAATTTTCATATTCAAGTGTTCATGTTTGCAATGTAAAAAACCAAAATCAATCACAAATAATATACTTACTTGTATTTTAAAAGTATCTAACACACACCACAGTTAGCGCTCAGACATAAAGACCATATAATGGTCAAGTGCAGACATCCACTCACCATTACAGTACACGTGATAATCTCCAGACATAAAGTAAGGGAAACGTACAACATAAGGACACAAACGCATTCTGAGAACTTTTCAGAGGCTTTAAACAAGTTGTTTTATCAATAGAAAATGTGGTGGAGTCTCACTGTCAGTAGCAAAACGAAAAACTCTCCAGGTTCTTTCTTTATGGCTAATATTGGTTGTTTTTGCAATCCACTTTCATATAACCACACAAACAGTAATTCCAACGATACAATGAGTCTACCAATAGTTTTAAAATATAACCACAGAAAATCTGCTGATTTAAAAACCACAGGTGAAGTCCAAAAGAACCGAGAAGTTCCTGCACCTGAAGGTCATGTGTGACGTCAGTGAGATAACAGACCCTCACATCTCCATGTGTCACTGCTGTTATAATGCCGGCCGTCCATTCAGTTTGTCATGCATGAGTGCGATGGCTCCACCTGTGAAGTCTCTGAGCACCTGCACCGTCTCCCGCTGGAGCTGCAGCGACTCGCGCACAAACTCCTGCTGAGTCTCTGCCAGCTGCTGCACTGACTCCGACAGAAGCTCCAGGGAGCGCGACACAGTCTCCAGCAGGATGTTGGTGGCGTGCTGCTCCTGAAGGCTCAGCGATGCACTGTGCAGCATGCTGTCTCTCGTGCTCTGCGAGGACTGACCGGGCGACGGAAACGCAGCCGCAGATGCCGGCAGTCCAGTAGACGTGTGAGGTTGCGCTTGTTTCTGGGTGCTGCTGTTAGCTTGGTGATCATCTTTTGGCTTTGCTGTCTGAGTTGAAGGAAGCATATCGTCTCTTTGTTCATCGTCCGAGTCTCCAAATGCATTTTCAGTATCTGAGAAAAATAAGACACATCAGCATTTTCTAAGTACTAACATAAACCAGAAAAGCAATTTCTTGACAGCTCACCTTCTGCTGGAGGCACCTCATATTGCACATCAAAAGATGGCTGTGATGAGTCCCCTGCAACATTAACAGTTCAAATCAAATCAAATCACTTTTATTGTCACTTTTACAGTTCATATAAAACTAATTGCAGGAATGTGAAAAAAGACACTGCATGCAATAATTTATAGGACATGTGTGTGTGTTGACAATGCACTCATGTTTAGACTGAAATGAGGTCAATATGTGACCCCCTTTGCTACCTGACTGTCCTATCTTGTAGGAAGAAGGTGGAGGCATAGGTGTCATGTCCAACCCGCCATTAGGAGAGCTCTGCATTGCAATCATATCATCCTCGTCCAATTCTTCTTCCTCCTCTGGCACATCGTCGTCTTCCCCCAGCAGGCCGAAGTCACCGGAGCTCTGCTCCTCATCGTCCATCTCCAGTATCTGGAGGACTATTTTCTCTGTCTGGTTAAGATCCCGGGAAAGGCGTGAGTTGAGGCCTCTGTTGGGCACTGTCCCCGACCTCATAGCAGCCACTTTCCGTTTTGTGTCACACTTTAGGTCAGACCACTTCTTGATGACTTCTATGACCTCACGTTGGCACTCTCCAATCTCATTGACCCGTGCAGTAATCTCTGCCCATGTGCGCTTTTTCATGTCTGTTGGCACACCACGATTGAATTTGCCTTTGGGAATGAAAAAAAGAAATCCTGTCACTGTCAGTGACTGCATAAGATTAAAGTTATTATAATACAGAAATTCGCACTCAGTTCTTGCATACTTTGCACATTTAAATGTTTCAATTACCTCTGCTGGTAACGTTTTCATGACCAGCCACATCACACTCATTTATTCATTCTCCAGACACAATCTTTTCAGAAAGAGCTGAATTAAAAAAAATAAAAATCCTAAATGCTGTAAGCAACTGATAAGCTAATACATACCCACAACAACCATACGGTGCTTCCTAACTTCATCCAGCAATATGTGGACTTCACTGAAAGAGAAACGAGCCTTTCTTTTCTTGAAGCGTGTCACACTGTCTTGATTGTAGTATATGGGTGAAGACATTCTTCACACACTGTGTCGGTAGGTATCAAGCTGCTCTGAGGTCTCTGCTGTGCTTCAGCTCCTCCAGGTGTCTGATAGGAGGCTCAACAGTCTGATTAACAACAAAGTGTGGACGGTAAATCGTGTCTTGTCTCTCTGATGTGAGTTTAATGTTAGATTAACGGTTATACAAAAACAACTGGCATGATGAAACGTCAGATTAGTAGTATTCATAATCTGTTATTCTCCTGCATGTTTAAAAGAGCCACGGACACCTCTGGAGCTCGAGTTAGTCGATAAGTTAAACTCATAATAAACTAATATAATTAAAATTTAAGTTGTAACATACACAGCTTTCAAGGTTAAGCAGGAAAATAGCTCAGGCTCAGCTTTACACTATCAGCTCTGGAGGAGTGAATGAACAATGGAGGATGCTGTGCTCACTTCACACATGCGATAGCATAGTTAGCTTGTTACATTTAGAAGCCACTCGTAGCTACTTGCTAAGGATACCTTTACATATCGCTCGTTATTCTATTGAGTGATGGCTCTGTCATCTCCCATTACAGTACGCTGAACACTTAGCTAGCCTAAAGTAAAATTACAAAATACCCACTATGCTAGCTATATGCACCAAGGCAACGTTAGCTAACGCTACGCTTGTTTGGCTAACAAACACGTTGTTAAAACGCAACCTCACCTCAAGAGGTACATGCCGATAGCAGAAATAGCTAATGAGATTATGAACATACCCCCGAGTTAAATAAATTGGGATTTAGTCCGGAAACGTGAAGATAAACTTCCTTATCGCCAAGATAGCAATTGTCAAGTTACCCGCTGTGACGCCATCACTTCACAATTTGTGTCCGGTTAATATTAACTACATAGCTAAGTAAAGCTTGTTGACGAAAACAGGGGCATTAGAGTGGGAATTCAACCTTACCTATGAGTGTTTGGTTCACATCTAAGATATAGCGACGACAAACATTTATCTGGCCATTTAACTGCTGAGTTTTATAATCTATTTTAGAGCTGTGCGACTTTTATTTTGAAGGCTCTAGCCGGATTTCGGTATCGTTTGCCATAGATGGATAGCGGAACTATGGATGTGTGTCCCAGAGCAACGTGATCTCAGCAGAGGTAGCAAAAGTACATACAGTCTGTACTTAAGTAGAAGTACAGATACTTGTGTTAGAAAATACTCCAGTAAACGCTGAAGTACTGATTCCACTTCTTTACTCAAGTGAAAGTAAAAAAGCACAATCTCTGAAATGTACTCAAAGTCCGAAAATAAAAAGTAGCTCCTTGAAAGACAATTATACCATCTATTTTTATGGACAGGTAACTCTGCTCTATTAATGTCATACAAATACAATATTAGAATAGAATACAATAGAATAGCCCTTTACTGTCATAATATATATGGACAACGAAATTGTGGGTGCTCCACACCAACCGTGTCAGAATAAAATATTAATTATTCAGACATATGAGAATACAAATGTTATTTGAATCTAAATACTAATTCTAATGAATGTGCTTAGCTTGAATGTGTTATTTAGACCACAAGAGGGTGACTTGTCCTCCACACATAAAAAGAAACATAAGTACAGTTAGTAGTTACACTGGGAGCTGTCTTCCATTTGCTACACCAACAGCATACTGTATGATGTCTTTATACTAGATGGTATAAAGTTGGTCTAACAATTGAATTCAGTAAATGGAGCTCAGAATCATCAGCTTAAATGTAAATTAATCACACTTGATTTAAACCAGCACTAACCACCACAGCCACTGTGTAGCAGTCAAACACAGTGTTTTACTATGAATTTACCATTTTAATGCAAACTAACCTTTTTATCCTTCACAAACTACAGAGTATTTTCATGTAACCCATAAAACACATCATCTGGTTGTAATGTTTTCAGTCAATCACCCAAGTGACTTCCTGAGTCTCAGATCAATGCAGGTTTCCCCATCCTTATAAAAAGTACATATTCACTGAAACTAGCACCATGGGCAAACAATGAGATCAGTTTCTTGATCATTAATATGCAAATTGACATGACCCTTGATCAATGGGCAGTTGGGAAATGGCTGCAATCACAACATTGTAAGATGGTGAAAGATGTACCCTTAGGCCCCCTCCTCGATTCAGAGATGGTCTTTCCTTTTTCACCTAAGTGGCCTCCTTGACTCCCCACTCAAACCAGCGTTCCTCCCTGTCCAGGATGTGTACATCCTTCTCCTTTATGTCAAGTCATGACATTTTGCATATTAATGACCAAGAAACTGACCTCACAGCCCATTGTTCAGCAGTGTGTTTGCTGATTTTGTTGAGCTGATAGAAATGTTATGTCGAGTAGAAACGCTACTCCCTTCATGCTTACTCCTCATCTGTAGTGCTAGCTAGAAGCTGACTACAACATATGCCTACTAAAGTAGGCCTACGAGTATAAACACTGTAAATGATACCACTGAGCCTAAAGCACTAAGCCTGTTTTGAAAATGGAAGTAGTTGAAAGTACAGATATTTGTGTTAAAATGAAGGGAGTAAAAGTAAAAAGTTATCAGAAAAATACTCAAGTAAAGTACAGATACCTTGAAATTGTACAGCAAGAAAGAATTCGCACTTTGTTACTTCCCACCTGTTTCTCAATCATATATTTCTGACTCCTTAAAGTAGGCGGCATTAGTACTCAAGCATCCCATCATGCAAAGTGTTTATTCCGAGCTTTGCAGAATCATTAATTTATTTTAATTTTAATAAGGTTTGCACAAAACTTCAAGGAAACATTTGACAAGTCTCAGTTTCACCAGTTTGTTTTTGCCATGACAACCTTGTGGATCTAGAGCAGGGGTGGGCAATTCCAGGCCTCGAGGGCTGGTGTCCTGCAGGTTTTAGATCTCACCTTGGGTCAACACACCTGAATCACATGATTAGTTCGTTACCAGGCCTCTGGAGAACTGCGGGACATGTTGGCTGTGTCCCAATTCAGGGTCTGCACGCTTGAAGTACGCGCACTACGGGTACTACGTACGGTGCGTACTATAAGTACGAGAAGTGCGGAAGTGAGAGGCTTGTGAAATGGGACGGTATACGCTTCGTCGCGCTGTTCAGGTTGCCTAGCAACCATGATACTAACCGCGAGACACGTTACATACAGCTTTGTTTGACAGAAATGAAGGAGAAAAATGTTTTGTTGGTCATTCATTTTTGACATCACTTTGATTAGTTGAGTATCTGAGGCTGAGACCACGGGACTGTAAAACATGATTGTTGGGCTTCATTTCTGTGCTGAACAGTCATTTAAGATTAGTTAGTAAATAACAATTAGTTGTTCATGAGACTAAAGTCATCTCACTGTGGTAATGTAAATATAATATGGCCAATTTTATAGTATTGTCAGATTATTATGAGATATATATATATATATATATATATATAAAATCACTGACTTTCAGCTTGTTGTGTTTGTGGATATATGACTGACTTTAATTATTAAGCTTATTCATAAATAAGTGACGTCATGTTCAGTACTTTTGACAGTTCACTTTTCGGCCGCTCCATCTTATTAGGGAAATTCCACATACATAAATGTAAATTCCAAAACTCAACCCCATCATTTAATTTGTTTTTGATTGAAATAGAATATTACTTAAACTCTATTAAATTAACTTCCAATAAAAAAGGTTTATCATTGATTGAAATTCATTCAGAAATGTTTAACGAATGAGCTCTCACAACTTTCAAGTACACAGTAAAAAACCAAGTGTCAATTTTACACTTACAGAGTTGATTTTAACTCTGCTTCAGATAACATTTGGTCCCACTCAAAATTAGTTAAATTTACTCTATGGCCAGTGTTAACTTTTCAGTGTTAATTGTACTCAATTTAGTGTCAAAATTAACAACAAAATGTGTAAAAATATTTAACACTGAGGGTTATTCACACTGTTCAGAGTAATTTGATTACACTTTATAGAGCTATTTTTACTCCAAATTTAGTTTAATAATAACACTCTGATGTGTAATAATATATCATTTTTATTTCTCTGTAGTGTGATTCTTTTCATATTCATCTTATGATGCTATATTACTAAATAACTGATCTATCCTACATTATGGAAATAACAAATATACAGGTTAAAGTAACAGCATTTATTATTTTTCTCAATTCAGTGTCATTTAATTAACGTAACAAACCTTTACAATTCACAGTTCTATGATGCTCACTAGAGAAAGCAATATGACATTTCCCCAATGTCGTAGTTGCAGAAAAGTAACAAAGTTGGTCAGGGATGAACTGTATGATGTACCAAAGACATAATGGGCCCTAAAGAGTTCATCAAGGGCTCCTACAGAACCTGTCGCATTACATGGAAGTGCATGCTTCTCAATTACAATGAAGCTGTGAATGCTGCTTCTTGTGGATCCCTGAGTAAGATGGTAGGGCTGACTGCTTCGGGTGATGTTGTCTAGATGCTGCTGTACACTGGTTCCAGCCTACAACAACACATTAAACAACAGTATTAAGTGACTATCCTCTGACAGTAGATTAGCTCAACTCACTGTCCATGAAAATAGAGGTGATGGAAAGTATATTTTATTTTATTTTATTTTATTTTATTTATTTTTTTTAAATGACATCAGAAACAGCAGTATTACGTGATGGCAGAGCTTCAGTTCATCCTTTGTCATTTTTTTTTTTTTTTTTTTTTTTTAATAAATAGGACAGGGGGAATGAATGAGAGAGAGAGGGGAGAGAAAGAAAGAAAACCAAAGGGGAGAAGAGACGGTGAGAAGGGGGGGAAGAGAGACAAAAAAAAAAAAAAAAAAACTCCTGGGTCACCTGTATGGAGAAAAAAAACAAAACAAACAAACAAACAAAAACAAACAGAGGAGACAGCAAACAACAGAGAGCAACATAATAATAGAGAAAACAAAGCACCATCACAATAAACTAGCTAGTCATAGATATCAGTATTTACTAAGTAATAAACGATATTGTGCAGCACGCAAGATAGACAGCGCACAGTGTGCTTTGAGGCAGCAGCCAAGAAAGCTTTAGTCCGCGTCTGTGAATACCCATGTGTGCATACCTGTGTGGATCAGCATGCTTGCATTCCAAAGGTTTCTCCATGTAATGATCTGCTAGGGAGTGTGGGGGGGCCACAGCCCCGTCCTCCAGGGTGTGAAGCGGGTATGGAGGAGATCAAAACTCCAGACATCCAGAGGCCCCCAGAACACAAGAGACCATGGAAGACCAACAGAGGGGCAGCCGCGCCACTGTCCCAGTAAGAGCTGAGGAGAGTCCCAGATGAGGGCTCGCCCAGCAGCCGCGGAAAGTATATTTTAAACAACATACCTTTGGGAATTTGATGAGGTTATTGACAGCTTGAGATGCAGACATCTTTCCTGGTCTCTTTCGCCCTTGTGCAGATGGTAGTAGCAGATGTAGCAGCAGCAAGATGGTAGACAAGTCACTGTCCCAGCCTACAGACGAATAAACAAAGAATTATTCCAAAAATACATTGAATTGACAGAATTACCTATATAACCAACAATGGCAAATAAAAACAGTCACAATCATACCATTCTCAACTTCAGTACCTGACTCAGCATTGCACATTAACTCCAAGAACTCTGAGGTGGGGACAAGTCCATGACTTTCCTTTACAACCTTTGCTTTGAGATTGGTGAGCCACCTCTCCAAGAATTTGCTCCCAGTGACCTCACAAAACAGGAGTCGGAAATCTTGTTCTATCTGTAATGCAAAAATACCGAACATAGAGAGGTGTATGATTGAATCCTGCCTACAAATTACATCAGTATCATTTAAATGATAAGTGAACTTACTTTTGGGAGATTTGCAAACTGAGACGCTTCTTTCCTCCACAGCTTTTCTTTGAATGGTCTTCAACTGCCATGCAATGTATCCTGAACTGTTCTCTGGATCGTAGTAATGTTTCTATGTAATTAAATAAACGAAGAAGGACTATGTTATCAACATTTCTGAGGGCAATTATGTATGTAATGTTGAAAAGTTCCCTTTACTTACATATCCATGTTGTGAATATGGGTCTTCCAGATATGGAGACAGAGCAACAATGCCCTGCGCATACATCACTCTTACACTTTTAGGGGGAGATGTCCTAATGTATAAATTCAATAATTGGCATTAAACATCACAATTAAAAATAATACAATGTTTAAAATGTTTCTTTATATCTTACATTTTTGATTCTTACCCATGTCATTCTGTCATCTCAGCCTCAAGTATGTTTCTCATCCGTCTTCTGGTTGCATCTCTCAGAGATTTGGTTTTTCCATACTCTTAAACCTTTCTATAAAATAGGAACATTACTTAATATTACTTAACATGTCATTAACATTGCTATCAGTTAATTTACACAAAATACATATTTCTTACTAAATAATGAGCAAAACTCTAAAGTAGTGTATGCCTTTGGCATTTGCTTAAAATAATATAAACCAGTAAAGTTAACTTTATGGTAATGTTACCCACTTTTTCTGAAAGTACGTTCGCTTATGTAAGCTAATTAGCGATTATTAGCTTACTGATAAATGGTAATTTAGTTGTTCAAACTGTGCGATTTGACATGTGACAATGATATTATTTAGACAGCAGAAATACATAGTTAAAATGTTTTAGGTTCATATTAACGCAGTGAGAAGATAACGAACATCTTAACTTTTAGCAACTGCTAGCATGTAGCTACTGGAATGCCATTAAACCTATGGGTAAATGCTGCTAACATGTCCTCACTCGACATCAGTGAAACTATAAAGAGCTACTTAGTTTAAAAATACCTTTTAAACAATGTTACCAATATGGGAATGTTAACTTCACTTACCTGACTGTGGCAGCTCTTCGGAGAAAATTTCATGCGCATTAGAGCTCTGAGGCCACACACGCCTGCGGACTGGTAATAATCAACACTGTGTGGAGTGAAGTCTTCACTGCGTGACTAACAAACTTTACACTGACTTTTAACTCTGATGTTAGAGCTGGTTTACTCCTCATAGAGTTGTAAATACTCTATCTAGGTTAAAATAGGTTTACTCTGAAATATTGACACTCCATTTTTTACTGTGTACAAAGTTGTTATGAAGTCTGTCACATTCCCCCCCCCCCCCCCTTTTTTTTTTTTTTTTTATCCTTTATTTATTTATCCTTCCTATTTCATTGTACTGTATATTGTTACTCTTATTTGCCTTGTATGTACTGGAATGACTGACTGTTCGCTTTATAATTTCAATAAAGTTTGGAGAAAAGAAAAAAGAAACCTCTTCGGCAGCTCCTTTCTGCGGCAAACTTATCCACACCCACCGCCGCGCTATGAATTGTGGGATATATGGGACCACGAAGCATGCACCGGACCACGCTTGGTATTTTGGGAAATCGACGGCGCATTTGGAGTATGTATTTGAAGCACACTTCGAATTGGGACAGCCGTCGTCGCGTGGCGGTGACGTAACCGCACTTAAAATGCGTACTTCAAGCGTGCAGACCCTGAATTGGGACACAGCCGTTGAGGAGCTAATTTAGCCATTTAAATCAGCTGTGTTGGTTCAAGGACACATCTAAAACCTGCAGGGACACCGGCCCTCGAGGCCTGGAGTTGCCCACCCCTGATCTAGAGAAAGCATATGATAGGATGCCAAGAAAGGAAATGTGGTACTACGTAGGTCAGCAGTGGCAGGGTAGTAGTAACGGACATGTGTGAAGTCAGTGAAACAGTATTGAGTGCATTATGAGCTGGGATCAAGATGGGGGTGGGATTTCATCAGGGATCTGCTCTGAGCCCCATCTTGTATACAATGGTGATTGACCTCTGACGAGGTCAGGTAGGAATCTCCATGGACTCTGATGCTTCCAGATAATATTGTTATGAGCATAGTAAGCAGGTGGAAGAGAATCTGAAGAGGCAGAGGTATGCCCTGGAAAGAAGAAGAGTGAAAGTCAGTAGAAGCAAGACAGAATACTTGTGGGAACGAGAGAAAACAGCTGGAAATGTGAACATGCAAGGAGTAGAGGTAGTGAAGGTAGATGAGTTTAAATACCTGAAGTCAACTATCCAAAGCAACAGACAGTGCACAGGTGAGGTGAAAATTAGACTACAGGCAGGATGGAGTTGATGGAGATGAGTGTGACAGGAGCTCAGGTGCAAGAGTGAAAAGGAAGGTTTATAAGATGTTGCTGAGAAGGTGGAGAAGGAGGCTGAGCAGTAGGTGGCAGAGATGAATATGTAAAGGTTTTCACTGGGAGTGACTAGGATGAACAAGATTAGACATGAGTACTTTACATCAGAGGTACAGCTCGAGTTGAGTACTTTGGAGACAAAGTTAGAGAGGCAATGCTGAGATGGTTTAAACACGTGCAGAGGGAGAGTGGAGATAGTGAACAAAAGGTGGTGAATATAGAGCTGCCAGGAGGGAGGAAAAAGTAAGATCTCAGAGGTTTATAGATGAATGAACGCAGTAAAGTACAGCATGCAGAGGGTCGGTGTGACAGAAGAGGATGTTGGAGACAGAGTGAGATGGAGTCAGACTGTATGCTATGGCAACATCTAAAAGGAGCTACATAAAGAAGATTTTTGCCATGCTAACATTTCATCCTTGTGGTCTGTATCCAAACCAAACATCAGACTGTGGAAGAAAGGTGACGTAAGTGACTGTCAATGTTGGTGCCAAACAGGCTGGTCTGAGTATTTTAGAAACTTCTTAACTACAGAGATTTTTCCACACAGCCATTGTCAGACGTTGTCAGATCTAATGAGTCTCAATTACGAGAGGGTCAGAATTTGGCATAAATGACTGCATAGATCCATCCTGCCTCGTGTTCCTTAAATGACCACGATGTGCTCATCTTCTGATCACTGTCAGCAGGATACTGGTCCATGCTTTAACATGACATTGAGTTCACTGTTTTCTAACTGCCTCTGCAGACACCGGATCTCAAACCAATTTGGGATGTGGTGGGATGTGTGATGCTGTCAAGTCAAATCTCTCAGAAATATTCTCAGCACCATTAAGAATAAAGGCAAAAGGTGGCCCAAGCCAGTAATAGAGACTGAATATGAGTAAATAGCATAACTATACGCTTTAGAATTCCTTCAACTGCTTCTGTCCTCTGTCACATTATCGAGAAGTGCTAATGAAGTCATCCATGTTCATGGATTACTCTGTATCAACTCTCGTGCAGATATATTTTATCTTCATGTGTTCAAAAAAATACAGTTCCAGAACAGGTTTGTCTTTTTTTTTTTTTAACTTCATTCTAATTCATCTTCTTTTTTCTTTTAAATGCAGATGGATGGTGTGCAGCTTGTTAGTCTTTTGTCTTTATGGCAGCCTTGAAGAAAGTGAATGATGTTAAGGGGCCGATTTACTAAACAATCCTGCAATTACCCACCACACTTGTCTTTGAAGATATCAGCGTTTTGTTTTATATTGCCAAAAACCATTGTTGGTCTTCCCAGAACATCCTAAACCACTGATGTGACCACTCCAAATACTCATGCTCTCTCTGATTAAACAGTTTTGATTTTGCAGCTTAAGGAATGGCCTCTCTAATCTGCATAAAGAGCTCCTTTGACCACATATTGTGGATTCACACAAAACAGCTTTCAAATTCCCCTTGTATGTTTTATTCAGTGGCATGTTAATTACTTAAATGTAAAAAAAAGATCAATTTAGGATGGGTCTGACAAATCTGTTTGTGTGTGTGTATTAGTAGGAGTGTCAAACGTAAGGCACAGGGGCCGGAAATAGCCCGGCTGTTACGTTTCGGTGTTGTCAGTGTGTTCTTTTTGGCGTGACTGTTATGTGTTTCCTGTTTTACTTTGAAAGTCTGTGTTATCTTAGTCTTTTCAGATTACGTTTCCCTGTCTCGTCAGTTCTGAGTTGCCCCAGCTGTGTTTCCCTCTTGTTGTCCATTTTCCTGATTGCTCCCTCTAGGTATTTAAACCCTGTGTTTCAGTGTGTCATGGTCGCGATCTCCCCCGTGTTGTAAATAGTTTGGTGTTTTGTTGTAAATAAATAGTTTGTTGTAAATAGATTTGTCGATACTTTCGTTTCGGGATTTTGGTGGTGAGCTTTAGTGGGGGGTTTTTGTGTGTGTTGTTTTTTTTTTTTCCTTTATTTTTACTTTTTTCGTGTTGCACTCCGGTTGCCTAGGCCGGGGTGTAACACCGGCAAAGACTTCAATCCAGCCAAATAGAAGGCTTTGGAAAATAACTAGCACATCAATTTTTGGACTTTCAACTGTATCTGTAGAAGTCGTGCAAGTTTTTGGGCTGATAAAGACCTCCCACATAGCCATTCAAAAATACCAAAGTATTATTAGATAATCAATGAAATGACAGAAAAGTTCCTGTTTTTTCACCATCTACTAGAAATTGATATTTTCATTAAGCAATAAAAACTACAGAAAGGTTTGGGCAATAACTTACCAGAATGTTTTCTGCAATTTTACGCATTCATCATATAGGAAACTGAGACATTAAGATCAAAGTGAGTGAGTCTGACAGCTCTGCCTTAGAGTAAATGCATTTTAAACACTTTTCCAAACAAGAAGCGTCTTTGTTTAAAAGTGATAAGATGCACATGAAAACCAGAAGATGATGTGCCACGCACAGTATACCGAAGGATGTTTTTACAGAACTTTGTTTCAACTTTCAGAGTCTATGATCATATTGAAGCCGTTTACAAAACATCCATCACTGATCATCTTCTGCTTTAAACTGACCAAGGCGTCACTCTTTAATAACCCACGCAGAGTATTTGTCAGCAGTACACCAATAATAAGACTGACATATTTAACATGATGTTTTTATTCCAAATGCAGTACAGGTCATTTATCAAGCAAATCCAATAACAGTTTAATGGCTGTGGCATAAAGAGTTACAGGATTAAAACCCCTTAATTATGGCATTTCACTTTGGGCTTCATGCATTAGTGGCATACAGCATCAGCTCACACACTATGCTGGCATCATCTAATGGAGGCATAAGTGATCAGAAAGCTGAGACACACAAAGCTATGGCAGACTTTCACTTCAAACAGAAAACATGGCACATTAGCCTTTCGAGCAAAGCTCACACCTTTCACACTTTAATGTACATTACTACTATAGATGGAAGATAAAGTCAGCTATGTTGGGTCGTTGCATCAACTTACCATTAAGTGCAGGACCCAGAAAGTACAGGATATATATGTTTAAAAACCAAGTAGCCATCTAGTGGCCGTAAAAGGCATTCTGATAGTGATAAGATGCAATAACAGTCTATGATGTAAAAGAATGGAGTGTAGAAATCAATAATTCATGCTGTGTGTTCCTACAGTGCTGTAACTCACCAGCAAACACAAATCTGTGAGCCAGTACAGTCTCAGTGAGCACAAATCTACAGTCAGAGGAGCTGGGGCTGGTTTCACAAACGCTGAATATAGGGTTGAAAAGTTTAACATCAGCGGTCTCTTCCATGGCAGAGTCTCAGCAAGGATACGGTGCTCATACCTGTTTTATAAAATGAAACCTCTTCCTCTGAGCTGCATGGGTGTGCACAGACTGACAGCCTGTTTATCCTGTTGCTCATGCTTGCTTAGACACACCCATAACATTTAGAACTGCAAGAGATGTGGCCACATGTTACACTGTATGGGCTCACTCTTCAGCCACAACACCTGAAAACAGCTCTTGGTATCACTGCATGAGTGACAGCCATGATAAGAGGAGGTCAATGGAAATGTGTTTATTTGTTAATAATAATAATGTCTCTACATAATTTCTTCTGGAAGGAATATTCAGAGTGACACATCATTCAGTTAGGTGTGAGCTGCCTTTGGGGTTTTTTTGCTGCAACTATGCTTAGTCCTCTGCTCAGGATGAAACTGGGTGGAACTACTGAGAATTTATGAAATTCTAAGGACCTACATGTTTACTGATGAAATAGGCTACCTGCCCCAACAGGTGTAACAGAACTAATAGCAGCCACAAAGAGTTGTCAACACAGCAATCAGCGCTCACACACCCACACAATTCCTAGAAAGATCTAAGCTAGTAGAACGGGTGGAAAGAGGTGTGCGATGCCTAGTCTACCACATCACAGCTGACCTGTGCTCAGAGAATAGAAGTCACATCTTTAATAAAGTGACACCTGAAGGAGGTTTGTGTGTCTTTTACAACACTTGTGCAGCGCACAGGTGCATTCCCAGCAAAGTTTGGAGTTAAAAGGCAGAAAAAGAAGAAAAAAAAAAGCCAGCTGACAATCAGGTTTTAGGATAAAAACAACCAATGAGCAAAAACATGTTTCTACCAATTCTCTAAGACATGGTGATTGTCAAATCAGCCCCAGACAAAGAGCAATACTGCTTTCACATTAGATTTTAAATAACAAATCCCAGGGCGGCAGAAGCAGGATCTTCTTGTGCCATTTAGAAATTTGGGGTGTGAGGAAGATCAAAAGAAAATGCCAAAAAATGGCAGCAATTCAACATACTATCACTTTTACACAACTATGTGATTTCACAGCTGTCCAAAGCGTTTATTAGCATTCACCTTTGATCATCGTCAGCTACGGCAGCATTCTGCATGCAGCTTTGTTAACAGTGTTCTCCAATCTTTCGTGTAAGTTTTAAGAGCTGTGAAGAATACCACATGTTTCCATTAACATGCAATTGTGAAAATAAGCCTGCACACACAAGGGATTTGCTAACACAGGAAGTTATTGGGATGATGATTAAAATATCTCGAATTGTGTATATAAACAAAGTGGTTCCATGAAACAAGCCGGAGAAACATGATCTGGACTTAAGAGTACATGGTGAGCTGGAGCCACTGAAAAGACACAAAGAAAAGCAAAGAACAAAACAACCAGTCAAATACTTTAAAACGGTCTGAACTGAAGTCAAAACCCACTGATACAAACAACAAAGATTACTTTACCTCTTGAACATTAACTTTGATGGTCCCGTTGTTATCCTTATCCAAGGTTTTGAAGGCACCTGATTCAGAACAGGTATTAAACTTCCGAGTCAATCATTCCTATCACACTAAACTATAAAGAATTAATTTAGTGATTGGTCTTTAAAATGAAACTTACGGCACATTGCATCCAGCCTTACGAGACAGCCAATGTAGTTGTCAAAATCCATGTTTCCACTTTCATCGCTGTATCTGCGAATGATCATCTGGTACAGCTGACCACTGAGAGGGAAGCCTAACGAAGAGACGCACAACTGTGTGTTACAATTAAGCAGTACAACAACAGGTACATGTGCATTATGTCTGGATAAGGCTGTGCTGCTTATATCTAGGGATGGGTATCGTTTAGGTTTTATCCGATACCGGTGCCAAACCTGTACTTTTGAAACGGTGCCGGTGCTTAAAGAATCAAGAACACAAACTTTGTCCTAAAACCTCTCATGTTTAACGGTTTTCCAATTTTTCTTTGGTCATTTTAGCCTTTTTGGCCAGGGTGAAGGGAGTATCTGCCATCAAACAAGAAGACAGCTGCATGTAACTACGACGGTGTTTGCTAGTTCACCTTACATGCATTGATGTAATAACGTGGTTAGCCTACTCAATGTAAATTACACACGAACAACATTGAGCTACTCATGCAGAGAAGAACGGCTGCTGCTGCCGTCATCATCCGTCATCATTTCTGCTACACTGGCAGGGCTAGGGGCCAGGACTCTCCTCTTCGGGTTCTTGGGGGATGTTGCTAACTCCGGGTCCGATAACAAGCACCACACCCGCAGTAGGTACGGTGCATTTCTCGGCTTTAAAAATAAACCCGCTATGCGTCGCCAGGTGTTTCATCAGATTCTAGGAGTTACCTCCTTTGCACAGTATCACCTTAAAGCACTTGTTGCAGGCTGCTGAGTTTGCATTGCAAGTGAAACAATGTGTCTACATACTGTATCCATTCCATTGACATTTTCAATCTTCTATTGTGAACATGCCGTTTTCTGTTTTTCATTACATTTCATACAGTGTCCTAAATTTTTCAGACCTGGGGTTGTAAATGACTAATTATTAAACCAAGCCTCAAATTTTTTCTGGCTTATTAAACTAAACACGAACCTTAACATCATGTACATACAACAGTTATTGTATGTATAGGTATTGTTTTTCCAGTGTCTCTTCTTAGAGGATTAAGTAAATCTTTTCCCTTCATTCTTGTGAAGTGCTGTGGAACCATTTGAACAATGCAGAAGAACAAAAAAATTCTCACCAGCAGCTCTGAAAGCCTCAGGCAGCTCATTTGCTCCAATGACACCGGAGTGATCGGAGTCGTGGGCCTTGTACACTCCCTAAGTAAGAACAATAGAAACATTTAAAACATTTGTGGCAACCCAGGTTTCCTGGTAAGATCACTGACAACCTAAAAAGGGTAAAAGGAAAAAAGGAAAAAGAGCTGCTTTCACAACTCCCAAGCCATAAAGGTTTAAATTCAATCACCACCATATACAAGTTACAACTTGTATCTCCTTCAGCCAAAAAATAAAAATAAAAAAAATTATACAGATCACATTTCTATGTTGTAAAAACATGGCGGCTAACCAAATTAGGGAGAAGTTTGGCACAGTGTGTATTCAAATCAGCCCGCCTAAGCAGCTGATGCTGTAAAATCTTTAAGCCACTTATTCTTCTGTGACCCCCCCCCCCCTGCTGTAAATGGTTAAGCCTGACCACAGTAATGCCTTAGACTATGCAACAGAGAAACAGATGTGCAGGATAAATAAAATGAAACTGTACTTGCCTGCCATCTTTTTATATTGTCCCAGAGGTGTTTGAATTCATGAAAGCCAAGTTTTCCAGTGCTGTCAGACTGAAAAAGCGTTAAGGCCAAAAGACAACAACTTCTCTAGTTAAGCAAACAGTTGCGAAGTTACTTGCACAGTGTTTGCACAATGGGTTTCACATGCCTTTTCAGTAGGGAATCCACCACATATTACAAATTTCTCATTTAACTTTTCTTTTCATAAACATGCAAATAAGACTGTCAGCTGAAACTTTGTGGTCCTCTCAGTGTTCAACTTCCCAAACATTTTAATGTGATTAATCCTCCCCATCCACTGCTACAATATTATGTTGGCTCAGGAGAAAAAAAGTCTTTAAGTTTGAGTCCGTCAGATGTTTTCTAAATCCACAGCTTAGCAACACATGAAGGGCTAGCTAAAGCGTTTTGTTATTGTTCAATTAGGACAATGAACAGAATTACAGAATATATACCCCTGTCAAACAGCCAACTGCGGACAGCAGAGATGATATACATACTACAACAACCCAGTGAACTATAACGTGCCTATAAGTGTGTCACCCATAGTGCTACGTACGGTGCTATATTACCAGACCACCTTGAACTGTTAAAAATGAACTAAAATGAATCGTTTCGTTGCCTTTCAATAGGCCATTCAGATTTTAACTAACACACTTCTGTATATACAATTTAACAGTGCTCAAGTCGTTTTCAAAAGACATATTTAGACATGTTCAAAGCAACATCCATTTCTGCATTTTGTAAAGTCGCCGTTCTAAATTATATAATTGCTTAGTGTCATTTTTTACTTTTACCCAGATATGAACTGTGTGATGGGAGGAGCCTAGAACAGAGAGGGTAAAAGAAAATGTGTATGAAGACTTCAGTTGTTTTTGGTTTTCTCTGGATTTCAGTCCACTGCAGCTTTAAGGTTTTAGTAAGCCACAGGTATGAATGGGCCAACATATCCCCACTTTAGTTGTCTGTTTCTATTTGTTCTGCATCATTTTTTAAACTTTTGCTGTCAGTGACAGTTCAATACTGTCACCCAGGTTATATAAAACACACAGAGTACTAATGAAGGAAAAGATACATCCATGACTGCCACCATGCTCCTGCAAGACTCAATGCTGAAACCATCTGTCTTCAGATCATGATCTAAAACATAACAAAAAAATCTATTAGTAAAAAAGAGAAAGAAAGAAAAGAAACCCTAAAATGTATATGTATTCTGAAGAATTGAATCATAAGCATAATGAAAATAAGTATGACAAATGCAGACACATCTTACGCTTTGCAATGATTCTGTTCAGGATGTTCATCAGCTCGTTTGGGCTCACTTCCATATCCTACATGAAAAATATGGAACATCATTAAAAAACATGAAGAAACCTGCAGAGACACAGCTGTATGGTTTAGCTAAATGATCAAAACAATATCCATATTACTGCTGGGTCATACACCTGATGTATAGGTTTGATTTTATTTATTTTAATGAGATGAGTTTTTCAAAAGAAGCATAACATGGTATACTCTTTTAACCACTGGGAAGGGCTCGGGGGCCACATTCAGCAACAGTATAACAGATGTTCCAAAACAACCCATGACTGTTTAACAGTTAACAGGTTAACAGGCATTGTGGGTGGAGCTCAAGCAGCTCCTCCACAATGACAGACGGGTTTATTGTGAACACAGTCAGGCTTTTTTTTTTTTTTTTTTTGCCTTAGCTGGCCCAGCAAAACCTAAAACTCCAGCTGGGGATTGAATTTAATTAAATTTAAAGTTGTCTCCTCACATACAAAGTCTTGGATAATCTCGCCCCATCATATCTTAAAGAGATTGTAGTATCATACTGTCCCAACAGAGCACTTCACTCTCAGACTACTTGTGGTTCCTAGAGTTTAAAAGTAGAATGGGAGGGAGAGCCTTCAGCTTTAAGGCCTGCAGTGCCAGCTGCCCATTAGAGCGCTGCAACTTAAAAATGTTTAAATGTATCCAGTTTAATTAGCCTATTGGATAGTGACCTAAAGAGTTATATTTTTTAGCTTTATTATGTCAGTAGATCAAAGTGAAATCATTTTTTCTAACTAAACCAGTATTCTTGGTTTGTGTCCTTAGCAGCAGATTAGAGTCACATATAAAAACATTGATATATTTTTCTGCATCAGAGTAATATATTTACATTCCTGTGGCAATAAAATGCACGGTGGGCCAGGTTACGTGTTTGGCATGAGTTACTACAGTGAATTATCCAGATAACAAGAGAGCCGCTTTTAGGACACAGAAAACTCTTTAAGCTCAACTCAGTTTGCGAAGCCATAAACTTAGCTTCATAGTACACCCGTCAGAAGAGGAAAAGGTAATTATTCAGTCAATGAAAAATAAATAAAACAGGTGTGAAAATGGAATAGTCTAAGTTCAAACTGAGTTTTTTAAGCTGCATTTGACAGTTCTGCTGGACACATTAATATTAATGTCAACAAAAAGCAAACAGGGAATCCCAGAAGTTAGAAAAACCAAACCAAAACACCATAATACAATCGCTTGGCCATACCTCTTAGCACTAAATTACAATTGTATGTTTTCACATTAAAAATGAAACAGATCACTGCAAAAAAAAAGCAAAAAAAAAAAAAGCAACAGATTTAAAGAGAAGCATAACTAGGCATTGCACTTACATCTCCAGCAATCTGTTGGAAAACTCTGCGGAACTGCTTTTCTTCTTCACTCTCATTTTGTGCTGCATACGTAACTGGCATGCGTGGTGGAGGCTGTGGGACAGATGCCCGAGAAAATATTAGAAATGCTATCACCAATCACCAATCTAGAAATTAGAAGTGATGGGCAGTGATGAAACGATGTAAACTCACGGGTTGAGAAGGCACAAACTGGTTTGGGTCGATGTTGCTACAAAGGCAGGAGCAGAGATCAAAAGCAGATGTTAGACCAACAGACCGACCAAATTTTTGCCTACCTGGTACTTGGTACTTATTTCAGAATCTCACCCAGCAGCATCAATGATGCCTCCAATAATCGCTTTGACAAAATTCATCTTCTGTCAACTGTGAATGCAAAATGCAAATATTTATTTGTTTTTTCTTGAATAAATATATAAACACACGGTAAAATGCGTGACACCCTTCACAAACACTGAATCACACGTATCACACTCTTGATCAGTGGTTGTTGATCAATGATTATGAGAATTTGCATAATTATGATGAAGGAACTGACCTCCCAGCCCATTGTTCCTTCAGTGGGCTGGTTTCAGTCATTATGCAAATGTAGTGTTTATAAGATTGGGGAAACCTGCAGTCAGCTGAGACTGAAAAAGTCATTTGGATGAGTGAGGAAACGTTTCTCCCACTGAAAACGCCCCGTCCAGATGAACAGAATCAACTTTTGGAGATTGAATTACCTGAATGATTGAGCATGCATCAAGACGCACAAACACTGTAGTTTTTAAACACACTGTTTGTTTTCTTCATAGACTCATTAATTAACGACACACCCAAAAGACCCTGTTAAAATGTTTCCTGATATGGAAGAAAATCCATGACGCACCCAGACTGAAACGGGATGAGATTTGAAAAGTTATCTTTGTTCTTCGCAAATCGATAATGACATCTCTGAACATATATGAGGGGGTCTAGTCAGTAAAACGTCCCCCTCTAAACAGCACTGCTAGATTGTGTGGTTAGGTAACGACGCAAACTGAATATATATCCGCATGCTATGTAGCGTTATGCTTCAAAACTAGCACTGTTTCAGGTCAGCTTGTTATTCGCCCTGCAGCTGCTCAGTGGCGTTAAAATACCGTATGAAAACGAAAAACTCGTAACGTCGCAGCACGCACTTAAACTAACGATATACTGGAAAGCAGCTGATTTACACTTGCTATCTTAGCTCTGAGCTAATTCAGCTACACGAGTAAACATAGCCGTCATATTCAGTAAAACTTGACACTTAACTAAACCCGAACTGTTTTCATTTGTTCTATGAAATCGCTACGTTTAATGTATATTTACCTGTAACGCAGCAAGCTTTGTAAAGTTGACCGCAGGATATTTGGGGAGGCTTGCGTGACTTCCACTAACTCAGCTGGTAGGAGGAGCTCTTCAACACGCCCCAACTGACGACCACACATCGGAGGAAGGAGGAGGGCTGGTGGTTTATTTCCGCCTGTGCTCCGGGCTCCTATCTTTACCAAATTCAGTATGATGGAATACAAATGATTTCTGTCTTTATACTACTCGGTGATACTAACAGCGTTTTATGACGTACCTTCAAATCGTTACCTTGTGTTTGTTATCAGACACGCATAATATCATAAGCATGAAAATACCACTTCCCTTGTATTAGCTACTTGTATTTACAAAGAAACACATTTTTCCATAAATTAGCTCTGTTTGTATACTCTTGTTGATGGAATTTAGATCTCAGTCAAAAATAATTCAAGACACTGAGCATCAACGCTAAGACAGATAAACTATGATACATTAATGCCAGGATTTTTTTTCCCCTGCAAAGCTCTAACTGTAAAATCACATGATCAACATTGCCGCTTCTCATTTGTGAAGTGGGTGGGGCGGGAATCGAAAAAGGTTTGATGAAGTATTTTTTTTTATAAGGTCTAAAGACTTCCAACAGATTGTTGTAATTATTGTTGTATGTGGTTCCCAAACTGCAGTTTGGAGGACTGGTATTTGCCAGTGACCTTCTAAACCCATACACCTAGAGCTCCTGCTCATGAAACTGGAACACTTACTTGGTTGTAGTGGTTGCTAATGTAGTAATCCACTTCCTATTCTGAGTCATAACATGGCACATATTGTACACCTAAAAAAGGTGTGTACTGTGAAAACACAGTAATAGAAGCACCCATGTCATGCTCACCTACTTTAACAGGTAAGGGAACTGGTGAGGCAGTGAGGAAAGGCAGCTTTTGAGGTCTGGGCCCTTGTAATTGTATTGATTCTTTTAAAAACAAAACAGTAAAACTTGGCACAAATAATTATCTGACAATCTGGATGGCATTTACTTTGAAAAGACTACGGGATTTCTACAAGGTTATGGCTGGACCTACAGTGCCCCTCACTGGATTGTGTTTGGGGGGGTATGTTGACCCATGACTCAGAATAGATAAATGGTTGGTTTAGGCACCAGGACTGAATCAGATATACAGTAGGGTTGGGGCCATTGAGTAAGTTTTTTCTTTGTGCTACTTTCATTTCAAGTGAAGAGATAATTCTGTATTTTGTTATTTTTGTTTTATTTCAAACCCAGCTATGGCAGGGAGAGACTAAATCTAAAACCCATGACTGGAAAAGCGAGCGAGCTGGTTGATATGATGGACAAAACAAAGGTAGATCTATTGTGTGTGCAGAACACCGGGTGAAAGGGAAGCAAGGCCATATAGGAGCTAGATTCAAAATGATCTGCCATGGTGTACATTGGAAGGAAAATGGAGTTGGGAAATAATGAAGAAAGAGTATGGGAATAGTGTTGTGGAGGTCGGGAGATTGTCAGATAGGATGGAAATGGTTGCGGTGAACAGATAAGTATTACATAAATTATGCAAACACATATTAGACAATCGTAGTAAATACAAAATGCATTTTTTATTGATCTGAAACATTTAATCGGAAAAGGCAAAGGGAATGATCTAGGACAAGATGCCAAAGACAAGGCAACCTGTTAACTGTGAGTGCACAGTACTTAGTACTTAAAAAATACTTAAAGCTTGATTTTTATGAGTGAGCAATAGTAACAATTGTCATGGTCTGTGGTGGGTGGCTGGAATTTCCGTAAGGCTCCTGAACTTACCTGGGATCCGCCCCTGGGCAGGGCCAACTCCTCCAGCTCGTGCAAGCCTGGAGCCATCAAGTCAGAGGAATTTAAGCCACAAGTTGATGTTCATTCTCTGCCAGTTTGTCATCAACACATGTTGGTAACATGCTGTGATTTCGCTTGTTAACAAGACTCTCTTGTGCTGCAGTTGCTGGAGTCACCTTAGTGATGGGCAGATGAAGCTTCATGAAGCACTGAAGCTTTTCATCCAATTGGTTCACTCCAGTGCAAAGCTTCTTGAAGCTTCATTTGCTGTAGTAGGACATCTACTGGACGTAAAAATATTAGTTGGCATGAATTTGAAGAGTGTGGCCTTTTGCACACCGCCTGTAAATGTCAACAACAAAAGGAGTGTGTAAAACATCTATATTGTAGTGATGCAGTATACTGTGTATATTTATACTGGCAGTATGGAAAATGATTATTTGGAAATACTTAAAATGGAAATGATCATTTACTGTGAGGTGAGGTGTGGTTGGGGTGTGGACAGTGGTTGTGCTTTTGTAACGTTGAGGTATGGACAGCTACACACTGAGGCTTTGAGCCTCAGTCCTGCCTGTTCACATTTTATTCTGTAAAAACTAAATTTCCACTGCTTTTATGACCTTTTTAGTGGGGAGAACATAGCTAGGATTTAATGATTTAACAAATCTTTTAAATCCTTTGTCCTCCACAATGCTAAATGGCTGGGAGTCCTCAATCACCATGCTAACCAGGTCTTCATCTATTTGAGATTGTTCTCCTGAGGAAAGACAATAAAGACAAAGCACAAATATAAATATCACACACGTAACTTATTACAGTTGTATGATATTGTCATATCATTTAGTAACATTACTGCATGCTATATTATCATGGCATTTGATGGCTCACCTGGTCTTGCTCCACAATCAGTGTTCCCCTTATTCTCATGCAAAGCTCTGTAGTGCCTAAGCATGGATGAGGTGTTGTTGTTATATCCCAGCTCCCTGGCACATAGCAAACACTTCACCTTGTACAAAAGTAAAGACAGCTTAACATAAATTGTATTGCACCATCAGTATTATGAAAATACATCTTCTGTAGAAATTTACATACCTTGTTGGGAGGAATAAGATCAAAATGTTCCCACACAGGGGAGGACATCCTCCTCTTCTTAGCCGGCTCCATTCTCTCCTGACTTTCTCTCCTCACTCTCATAAACCTCCAAACGGTCTCCAAACTCTCACTAACCGCAACTCTCCATCAAACACTCACATTTTTGATTGAAGTCTGAGGGGTTTATATCGCTGTCATATCTCGCGGCAAAGTTCGAACCACTTCATGAACCAGTGACGTGGTACAGCCGGGCAGCGAGGCTTCGGACGTCATCATTTTCAGCTCCTCCCATAAATGAAGCAAGCCTCGATACGTGCATCGCGATTTTTAATCAATTTAAAGGTTTTTAAGCATACCTGAGACCAGAAGTTTTGGTCTAAGCTGACTGATAAATCTGCTTCCCACTTTGCAATAGGAAGGGATATTGATTCATCTAATTTAGAAAGTGTTCTGTATATTTTAGATAATAATTTGGGGGATTTAAGAGTAAGGAAATGTGCCGCACTTGGTGGTGTTTGTAATTCAACTTGACTGAGGTTAAATTTCTTTTTTACTATGGATTTAATTTGTTGATATTCTAAAAATCTTTTCTTGTTGATCCCATATTGTGCAACTAGTCTGTCAAATGGAATAAATTCTGTTCCCTCTAATATATGTACTAAGTATTTAATTCCTTTACAACTCCATTCTGGGAAATTAATCATATTATTGTTTTGTAATATGTCAGGGTTATTCCAGATAGGTGTACGTTTGCATGGGATTAATGAAGACTCCGTTATTTTTAGAAACTCCCACCATGCTGTCAGAGAGAAGCTGATGTTGATACTTTTAAAGCATTCATGTCTCTTGATGTTTGAGCTGATAAATGGTAGGTCTGAAATCTCTAGATCCTTACATAGTGCCTGTTCAACATCTAGCCAGGGCTCATCTAAGAAGGTATGTTTTAACCATTCTGAGATGAACTGAAGCCTGTTGGCTAAGAAGTATTGGTGAAAATTAGGCAGATCTAATCCTCCTCTATACTTGGTTCTTTGTAGCGTTTTTAAGCTGATACGCGGGGGTTTATCTTTCCAAAGGAATTTGGAAATATATGAATCCAGAGATCTGAACCAATCTTGTGATGGTTTGTTAGGGATCATCAAAAATAAGTAATTTATTTTTGGCAAGATCATCATTTTTATAGTGGTGACCCTTCCCATGAGTGATATGGGTAAAGATTTCCATCTAGTCAGATCGCCTTCTACTTTCTTTAGAAGTGGGATGTGGTTTAATTTAGTTAAGTCTGAAAGCTTAGGAGAAACATTAATACCTAAATATTTAATATTTCCGGATTGCAGTGGGGCAGAGGAAGAATTATGGAAGGAGCAGTTAATGGGGAGAACTGTAGATTTTGGCCAGTTAATTGAATAATCTGAAACTCTTGAAAACCAGTTTATTAGAGTAATTACCTCAGAGAGGTTGGTTTGTGTGTTTTGCAGAAAAAGCAACACATCATCCGCATAGAGACTGATTTTATGTTCTATGTTCTTACATTTTATGCCCTTAATTGTTGTAGCCTGTCTAATTGCTGCTGCTAGAGGTTCGATAAAAATTGCAAAAAGTGAAGGGGAGAGTGGGCATCCCTGTCTGGTGCCCCTCAGGAGGCAGAAGCTGGAGGATGTCTGGTCATTTGTTCTGATACGAGCTGTTGGGGAATTGTATAATATTCTTATCCAGTTTATGAAAGAGTTTCCAAAACCAAATTTTTGTAAAGTTGCGAATAAAAATTTCCAGTTAACTCTGTCAAATGCTTTTTCTGCATCTAGAGATAATATTATGGTTTCGATGTTTTTATCGTATGAGTAGTCTATTAAATTAAGTAATCTACGAGTGTTTGTTGAGGAGTGCCGACCTTTTATGAAACCAGTTTGGTCAGGATGAATTAAGAGGGGGATTATTTTCTCTAATCTCTTTGAGAGAGCTTTGCAGATTATTTTAAGGTCTACATTTAAAAGAGAAATTGGACGATAGCTTGAGGGAAATAAAGGGTCTTTGCCTGGTTTTAGTAGGAGACTAATGTTGGCAGAATTCATATTTGGTGGTAGTCTGCCATTTTCCTCGATTTCCTGCAACATGCCGTGGAATACTGGTGCCAAAATTGTCCAGAATTCTTTGTAGAATTCTGCAGGGAAGCCGTCTGGACCTGGAGCCTTATTATTGGGCATACTTATCAGGGCTTCCTGGA